CTTGTAGGTACGACCATCAGTGTTTTATCCTCCCAGACGAATCTGGTACCAATTTACCGTCCCCGGAGGGTAGAAGGCTTGGTTGGCCTGGGCGGGAGTCGACCCGGGATTCGAACCCGGCGCCGCGCAGTGGTAAGCGCGCCACTTGTCACTACACCACCTCCGCCTCAACAAAAAATACCACCTCCGCCTCAACAAAAAAATATCAAGGAAATTACTGGAAAACCCGTACCAAGCGCAACGTGAAAGGACTTCTTGTGCGAAATTGAGATTACTTGACCTGCACGGACTAACCAAATCGCCTCACCTTCTGGGTTAGCGCTCATATTTCTCAGATATTTTAAGGTTTTTCTTTTTTTCAGTATTAGTGATATTGCAAAATTATTCATGTTTCCTTCAGGTAGAAAACCACAGTGTTGGCGAAGGTGGTGACAACACTGCAAGACGAGTGAGGCGATCTTCATTTGTAGGCACTGCTCAGTATGTCAGTCCAGAGGTGAGAATTTTACTTATTAGCTATCAGTGAGCAGCCCACCATTGTTTCATTTGCATTTCAGATCCGAAATTGGTCGCTGATGAACTTGGGGGGGGGGAAGCATATAAAGGTCATGGGAACACAGGGGTCTTCTTATGCGAAATTTGATGGTACCATGGTGGGTATGAGGATTTCTGAATAGCTCAAAGAGAGAGAACAGTTTGGGGATGAGCGGACCAATCTAACGTATGGTAATTCTTGGATAACGTAAGTCCCAGTTGTGTACGGGGATTCCCCTAGATGCCACCCCTCCCCTCCCACGAAGGTTATAAGCGCCCAGAAGTGTTATAATCACTTGCACAAACATGTTTGTTCAGGTGCTTGAAGGAGATCCCGTCTCACCGGCTACAGATCTCTGGGCATTTGGAGTGGTTGTTTATCAATTTTTGACTGGTAATTTCTCATTCCGTCATCCTCTGATAATGAAAGAATATTCAAAGGAATTTCAGGGAAACATGCATTCCATGACGCATCGGAATACCTAATGTACAAACGTATTCAGAAATTATTGTATTCGTATCCTTCTGATTTCCCAAAAGACGCGAAGGATTTAGTCGATCGGTTATTGATTATCAAGGTGGGATTGCTAGAGAGATGGTCAAGACAATCGTTATTTGCTGCTCAGTCGCGCGCGGGTGTAGGCGCGGCCTTTTCTCAGTTTGCATCAGCTCATCATTCCCAAGCGCGAGTCGCACGCGACGCCCAGCAGCGCGGCAAATTACGATTGTCTTGTCCCATACCCAGACTACTACTTTATTACCATCAGAATGCGTACTACATGAGCAAACAGCATA